CAGCATGCCAGTGGCCCTTGCTTCTGGTGTCATTCAAGGCATTACGGAATGCACAGAAAAGTGACTAAGTGTGGCCTTTTTCTTGCAGTGACCTAAGCTTTGAATTAAGCCTATTTAAAGGTGACCTCATCAGGCATAATTCCACCTGGACCTACAGTAGTTGGTTAAAAATGCACCTAACGAGCTTTCGTGTAATTGGCAAGTTGCAATGCCTCACTGCACAAGCTATATTGCTGGCCAGAGGGCTTAAAACAAACTGACAACCTTTTGTGAAAGTACATAAGCTATAACTATAGTATTTTCATTTCAGAAAATGTTGTGTTTCTTTTTTCCATTAGTATATATATTTAAAACCGCTAAAAAAAACTGTTTATCAAGTCAAAAAATGACCAATTTTCCTTCAGTATATTGTGATATGTAAAGCAAGTGCAAGAAAACTTTCACAAGATTTGTTTTCCATAACATTTGGATTCCCTTTTTGAACTCGTATTGGTGGGTCAGGATGGAGTAGATTTTAATCCCTTCTTTTTATTTGCAGGTTGACAAAGCTCATGAAGGAGTGAAGAAAAGGACACTGCTGTAGGCTGACAAGAAGCATTTTTATGCACTGTGGCTTTTAGACACAAATATGTTACACTTGTTTTTATGACAAATGTGACCCTTGTGAATTGTAAGCCATACAATCAGTTCTTTATTTACTTTACTAAATGCAATGCTAACAGTGGGATTCTTCTTTTTGTGACCTTTCTAAAAATGAGGAATCCAGATGCTTTTTTAATGCAGTTGATAATCATTTAAATAATAACATACAAGACATTATTTCCATATCTACTGTATGTATACTGTGGGCAGCACGGTACGTTTATTATAGGCTTTGTAGAACAAGTTTCAGATTTGCTGCAATTGCCCACCATCTTTACATTTTTAAAGAATGAGATTAGCATAATAGAGAAAAGGGTGGCTTCTACCAAAATCGATTTTTGTCAAAACATAATCATGTTAGTAGCAGCCTTAATGGCCTAGCAGTGTTAAACAGTGTGTCAGTTCCTAGATGTTGTGCAGGGGTGGTTGTTACCAAGTGGTGGGGAAAGCTTTATGGTTAATGTTACCAGCCAGTAGTATAACTTTGCCATCTAGTAGGTTTTCGTATTTTACTCTTTGCACATTTTCACAGATAGTTTAGTAACAGTATTACAGACAAGAATAAACATTTTTGCAAAGAGTAAATGCCTTGTTTTACATTAATGTCAGTAATTTACAGAAATACAAATTAAGTAATTTGCCATAGGTACAGAGCAGCAAGTTTGATGTTTATAAATGTGAAATTAATTGGACCACATACTTAATTTTTCACAGTGTTTAATGGTATTTGTTTAAACTGTGAGAATTATGTGTTAATCAGGAAAGGCATATGCACATTTACATGGTTCATATATAAAAAATATATCTCATAGTTGAAACTCATGATAGGCAGATTTCATTATAGCAAAGTGAAATTCTTATATGTAAATACTGATACAGTAAGTAATCTTTTTCTGTTTTGTGCATATATGACTTGATTTTTAAAATAAACCATAAATTAATTTAAAAATGATGTCATTTTTTTAAAAAATATTCATTTACAGGGAATTTAAAAGTTCACCCTCACTATGGAACCTGGTAATATACAGATGCAGCCACTCAGGACGTGCATTAATCCTTTTTACCCACTGGTGGAACTGTGATTATGGTGTGTGATTCATTGTCCAAAAACATTGATAGGTGGTACATGTGGTGCATTAGATGTTAGTGAAATAATTAAATCATCTAATCTGTTTTCTTACTGTTTATCATCTTTAAATCCACTGTGAAATATAGTTATATGAAATTATGTAACTAAAGGGACATTTTGGTAGCTGACAACAGAAAATAACAGGAGTATAACGTCTGTGAATGTCATAAACAATATAAATTTATTAATATAAATATACATACTGTTTATAGCTGGTAGTAGTAGTTATAAAAAATAAAGTACACTACCGTATTACACCTTCTTCCAAAACATTTTCTGCATCAAAGTCTTTATCTCAGACACTTACTGTGGTTATTTTGGAAACATTTTGACATGCTCCTTCTTATTATTACTAAGTTTATACTTTATAAAAACCTATGTTTTAACCTTTTCTATGAATGCTTGCTGTAATTATTGTTGCAAAAATACGTAATACGTTTTTAAGTCCACTTAATAGGGAATGCTAATATGGAATATTATATGGAAGTAACTTAAGGAAAATTTTGGTAGCTAAAAATAACAGAAGTACAATTATAATCAAGTCACTGAAAGTCATTAATATTAATTTAAGAATGCGGCTAAAAAATAAAAAAAATAAGGTACACAACAGTATTTCACCTTCTTCATAAACATTTTCTGCATCAACATCTTTTAAGTTGGTCACTTGTTGTGGTTATTTTGGGAAGATGTTGACTTGCTCCTTTCACTAGGTCTGTTGTAGTGGAAAATCAAACACCGTTTAGAGAGACATATGGGTGGCTTAGTGGTAGAATTCTGCACTATCATGTGATGGAGTTTGAGTTTGACTCCAGTCAAAACCAAAAAAGGTTTCGTTTTAATAAAATGTCCCTTGGGCATAAAAAAGACTTTTTCTCACAATAAAATAATATGTACATTATATTCACATTTCTGATTATTTTACCTATCACAATATGCCAAGTATTAAAATAAAACTAATAATAAAGTAATGATATAAATTAACCTCCAGACCAACAA